TGGTGGGAGCAGAAAGCCTCATCTTTCTCCCATGGAAACTGCTGACCTTGAGATTAGCAGTCCAGTTCAAAACCATTATGCTACCAGAGCTCCTTACAATAGACACTATGCATTCTAGTGTGCTTATTGCATAATGACAAATGTTTTGTACATTTTCCTACTATCTTTTTTATCCAAGATCAATAGCAGATTCCTAAATGGGGAGCACGTAATTGTGCTTATGAGGAACCTGTACATAGACCAAGAGGCAGTTGTCTGAATAGAACAAGGAAACACCGATGGTTTAAAATTAGGAAATGTGTGCACCAGGGTTGTATTCTTTCATCATACTTACTCAATCTGTATGCTGAATAAAAAAATCAGAGAAGCTGGATAATATGAAGAAAAACATGGCATCAGGATTGGAGGAAGACTCACTGATAACCCGTGATATGCAGATGATTAAAGCATTGCTTGCTGAAAGCAAAGAGGACTTAAAACACTGATGAAGATTAAAATTTGGGGGACAGGAAATAGAATTCAAAATGTGGATGAAGTGGGTACAACTTGGTCATGGCAAATGATGTCTCTATGAAAAATGCAAGACAAAATAATATTTTTGATAAAAGCTAGCATATATTCAACTGTGAAACAACAACTTACTAGTAGGAATGTTCACATAGTTATATATATACGATGCATACAAGGGGAAGCATGGTGGCTGTGTAGGATAAGCATTAGAATATGAACCACAAGGTTGTTAGTCCAAGCCTGCCAGCTGCTTTGCAATAGAAAGGTGAGACTTTCTGCTCCCAGAAAGATTTCCAGGCTCAGAAACCCTATACAGGGTCACTATGGGTCAGAACCAACTCAATGGCACTTAACAACAAAATACACACAAGTGTATAGATATATATGTGTGTATATGGGTGGGCATATATGAGGTAGCATCAAAAAGTTTGTGGAAAAAATTCTACAGATTCTGGAGACACTCTTATAAATGTACATATATGGGGGTGTATAAGAGGGTGTTTCAAAAAACTCATGGAAAAATTCCAGTATCTTTTAATTTCATCTTCCCACAAACTTTTGAAGTCCCCCTTTATATATGGATGCATACAAAGAGGCTTCAAAAAGTTCATGGAAAAAATGGATGAAAAGAAAATGAAAACTTTCCATGAATTTTTGAAGCTCACTTGTATTCATATATGCTGTTGTTGTTAAGTGCTGCAGAGTCACGTCTGACTCATAAGTGACTCTCAGGATTTCTCAGGAGCAACTGGTGAGCTTGAACCACTGACCTTGTGGTTCAAACTGACTTTGCAGTGCAGCGCATTAACCCACAGTGCCACCAAGATTTATATTCATATATACAGTAAAGCATATGGAGGTATAAACATGGATATTTATTTAAACACCTTGCAGGATTGGATAATGGGGTCTGAAGACTTTGGACCACAGTCAACTCAGTCAACTGGCATAACATAGTATTTAAAGTTTATGTTCTACATCCTAGTTTGGTAAGTAGCATCTGGGGTCTTAAAAGCTTGCAAGCATCCCAGCTAAGGTACAACTTTCATATAGGGTTTCTGTGTCTAGAGTAAAACAGAATGAAGGAAACCAAAAACTCAGAGAAGAAACTAGTCCATGGGACTAGTCTAAACAAACCCATGATCTCATCTACCCTGAGATCAGAAGAATTAGACGGTGCCCACCTACCATTACCAACTGTTCTAATTAGGAACACAATAGATAGACCCTAATAGAATGAGAGCAAAATGTGTAACAGGACTAAACTTCTTTTAAAATCCACTTAATGGACCGGTTGAGACTGTAGGACTCTCTGAAACTTTTGCTCTGAGATACTCTGTAAATCTTGAACCAAAACTATTCCGTGAGGACATCTTTTAGTTAAATAACAGATTGGCTTATAAAATAAATAATACCAATTATGAATACTGTACTCCTTTAAAAATCATCTACATGAGATCAAATGGTCAATAATTACAAGGCAAGGGGGCAGGGAAACTAGACTACTAGAAAAGAAACTACTAGAATGGAAATGAGAGCGTTAACACGCTAGGTAAAAGGTAACCAAGGTCACTGAACAATTTGTACAGAAATTGTTAAAAAAGAACGTAATTTGCTATGTAGACTTTAGCTGAAAATACAATAAAATATTTAAAAGAAGACAAAGTGAAAAATCCTCACTTTCCCCTTTCCTTACTCACAATCCTAAAACCTAATCCCTGATTCAAATGTGCTATGTAGCCTTTCAGAATTTTGATAGATATATTAAATATGTTTAAACTTAACAAACTGGGATTGTACTATCATACTGCTCCTGAACTTGTTAGTCTTTTAAACCTCAACAATTATCACAGGAAGCATATAATCCATCTATTATGGATTTTCTCATTCTCTCTCTCTCTCTCTCTTTTTTTTTTTATCAGCTTCATAAAATTGTATTGTATGGATAGCCCATGATTTATTTAACTAGTCAATTGATAGTAAGCTGTGTCCGGATTTTCACTGTTACAGATAATAGTGTAGTGAACAACTAAGCAGCCAGTCCTTTAGCTATGTGAGTTACGTATCAAGAGAAGCCTCCACAGGAGGTGACTAGTATGCCTTGGTGGGTACTAGGGGTGCAGGAGAAATGTGAATGGTGCTGAGATACTGGTACTTCCTTACCTAGCTCTTCCCTCAAGTCAATACCCAGCCACTGTTCATATCAGCAGGTCTCCTAACCACTGGGCAGAGACACTGAGTGATGCAATGCATGACTCCAGCCTTCACTACTCTCCTCTGTCACACAGACTTGAGACCTTTGTTCCCACTTTAGGGTCAGTCCCAAACCAATCCCAGTAGGACACACTGATAATGCTAAAGGGGCTCCAGCTTCATGGTCAGCAAGGGCATCAAGCCCACTAGGCTCAGTCTCTACTGCAGTGCCCAGTCATTCCTATCACTTTACAAAACATTTCAACTCAAAAAACTAGTGATAATGGGAAGGAAGAATAGTAAATAGACTTTTCATTAGGAAAAGAAACACAAAAGGTTCTGAACTCAGAGTACTTTTGGGAAGGGTCAAATGTAATGGGAGAAGTAAAACAGGCACCTAGAAGAGTCACCAAAAAGAGATGAGGGGGTCAAATACACCAGTTGTTCCAAGAGAGGGGAGAGAGTGGAACAAACTGGTGGCTGGGTGAATTGATGGTGAAGGGTAGGAAGGTAGTAGGTAAAAGATGTTGCTTTTTGCCTTACAATTTCCTGAAATCGTCCTAAAACTTTGGTGTATTTCAGGAACTTTTGAACATACCTATTCATGGGTTCTATTCTCAAAGCTTCTGATTCCGATGGAGGTGCAGCCCCATGTCTGTATTTTCATCAGCCCCCAGATGACTCACATTGCTTGTTCAGTAAACCACCAAATCTTATAAAATACTGTTATATTGTGATCTGACAGGTGTGTCGCAGATTGGGAAATAATGCTTCAGGGGGTTGCCACTCAAGGGTCTGAGAACAGTTACCAACAGACTTCTGACAAAAAAGCAGATGAATAGCTTCCCTAGTTTCTAATTCTTTTTTTTTTTTTTTTACTTAAGCTTGCATATCTTTACTTTGTATTCACCTTTATCCCTCACTCCTCCTGAAGAAGGTGTGACTTTATTGTAAAGTCATGTCAGTCAAATGTGTTTTTGTAAGTTTTTAGGGATGTCAAGATCCTGGACAGGCTGAAGTTGCTGAACTGGGAAGATTAGAGAAGGCAAGGAGGATGGGTGAGGCTGAGAAAGAGGGAGTTTCCTTCTCTAGCTGACATGACAGTTAAACTTTGGTTGACTCTGCTCAAAGGGAAGTCTCAGGTGGCCCTGTGCTGTCCTCTGCAGGTAGTCACTGGCCTGGACAGGACAGCCTTGGCAATCAGTCATCTGGGTGCCAGAAAGGCCAGAGGGAACATCTCTGGGTCCAAGGGAGAGCAAAGCATTTTACATAAAAGAGTTTATTGGTCTCTCACTCTCTCAAAAAAAGTTAAGTACAACCCAATTTTTTCTTTCCAAGAAAAGAAGGGAATGTTAGTACAAGGAGAAAAAGAAGGAAAACAGTACTTGTGTAACATTAGTATTTTGTTTCTGCTGTTATTGGTTATTAAGTACCGTCGAGTTGATTCCAACTCATAGTGACACTGTATAGAGTTTTCCAGGAGCAGCTGGTGGGTTTGATCTGCCAACCTTGTGGTTCACAGTCCCGTGCTAATCATGTGTTTTAACAGTAACAGCTAACAAGTCTATGCTCCAGGAGAAAAGTAACCCAGTGCCCTGTGAGGAGAAATGGAGGCTGAAATGCTGGTGGTGCTCCCTTATCTTGGTCTGTAGGGTCCAGACTGCAGCCCTAGGCCTGGCTGAGTGCTGGAGGGATGGCAGGTCTGCAGTGCAGTGCTAAGAAAGCAGGCTAGGGGTCCTCCTGAAGGCTGCAGATTTGCAGATTTAAATGGACTCAATCTTCACTCCAGGAGAGAGCCAATCTCTTTAGTGGGAAGCAAGAAGGTGCAACGACACAAGTGGTTGGAGAAGCAGCATTCTGAGTGCTGGAGACAGCCCAGCACCAGAGCTGTCTTCTGTGCTTACCTTGTGTCTCTCCCACCATGAGCTCTATGCCCTTGGGAACATGACCTGACAGCTGGGACATCTACAATGTCAGGGGACTGGATTTGTTAATCTCCAAGGTCCACGAAGGAGTCCTGGTGTGGTGATGTGGGTTAATGTGCCAGACTGCAAAGCCATTTGAACTGCAAGGTTGGTGGTTCAAGTTCATCAGTTGCTCCTTGGAAACCCTATACAGGGTTGGAACCGACTGATGGCACTTAACAACAACAACAACAACAAGGTCCATGAAATCAGATTAGAAGGGCAGTGAAATGCGCATGGCAGACATCAGATCAACATTTGTTAAATTGAATCACTCAAAAAATAAAGTTGCACTTAAAATTAAGTTGGTCTGTAAGGGTATTTTCTCCTTACCTGTCATACCTCAATACAGGGGTTGGGAGCACACTTGTCAGCAGCCATCCAAACTCTGCCAGCGTGTGCAGCAGAGGGCCATAATCCGTTTTGATTTCACAACCCTGCACAAGTAAGCAGAAACACTCATAGTCTGATGGCAAAGACAACACAAGTCATTGCAATAAACTGTCAGGTGTAACGATAAGGGGATTATACTCTCCTTTAAGTACAATCCCACTGGGCTGCCTTCATTTTCTGCTACCATTGAGGTGGAGTTAACAACACTGAGGATCAGAGTGGAGTCATGTTCTCCAAAGTCTGGGTCTTCCTCAGGTCTTGTTAGGACAGTGATTCTTAACTTTAATGTGGGGTCCCTGGAATCTGCATTTTAAAAAGAAGCTCCCCTGGTGATTTGATTCCAAGTAGTTTTTAGACTTGACTTTAAGAAACACTGGCTTGAGAAGAGAGGGCAAGAGTGGGGAATATAAATCAAGTAATGAAGCCAAAGAAGAACTTAGGTGCAGGAAGTGTTTTCATTGCCTTTATTCATTTGCAATGGAAGATTTTTACTTGGAGCTCTACTTCTTCCCTAAATCTCCCCCTGTCCCACCAGCCCCAGTGAATTGGCTAATTCCTTTGAAAATGGATGCTGTCTCTCTAATCTTTATAAGGCAAAAGTGTCCTGGACAGAAACTATCAGTGAGGGCCTCATACACACACCAGAGTATACCTGAATTCAGTCTGTTCACCTCTAGGTCAGTCCATTCGGTGACATCTGAATTCAGAGTGCACAGCATCAGCAGCGATGCCATCTCTGATTATGAAGGACAATGCTGTGTGTACATATTTGGCCTGGCAAAAGAGAGAACACTTTTGGGATCTTTTTGCCTTAGAAAGTCAATTCTCAAGGAAAAAAATAACGTCAGTCACATTGATTGCTTGGAGATAAAACACTAGTGGACTGACTGAATTCTTTTCACTTTCATCAGTTGTCATGGCATTGGGTAAAGAGATTCTTAGTGCCAGGAGACTTTGTTTTTAGGATTAGAATGCCAGGCCTTTGAAAACCTATTGCTATTTATGTATAGATAAATATTTTCCTATCCTTATAAAGTAAGTTTAACACTGGGTAAAGCAAATCATCCTTTCACAAATCTGAAAGAAGTTTGCTCATGCATATGTGATTCCAAATGCAGAATAAGCATGTGTTCAAGGATACTGTATATGCAAGGCAATGAAGATCTTTAACATATATAACTTAAAAAAAAAAATAATGCTGTATTGTCAGAAAATTGTAGTTCACCTCAATAATGGTCCATTGTTCTACAACGATGGCATCATTTCCTTTCCTACCAGAACCTGGGACTCCAGAGCCTTCATCTTCGTAGATAAAGAATCCTTCCAGAGATTTGGGCAAATGGTCCCCTGTGAGGAAAAGGGTATAATTAAGATGTGACAATATTCCATGTTTCTTAAAGCCATCTAAATCCTTAAATAACCCGAGTAGGAAGTGGAAAGAAAAAACCTATCAATTAATGAGCACTTGGTTTGGCTGAAGTCAGTAACATCCTCCCCTCATCTTTGAAAGTTAACTTTTTTGCAAAGGTCAAAAGAGCTTAATACTCTTCTGAATTAAAAACAAACCATAACCATGAAAACTACAATAACAAAAACAAGATTAAAAAAACATAATACAAGTGAGAAGTGAGTGAATTTCCTAAATCATACAAGCATGTGTAGATGACCTTCACCTTGAAATGAAGCCTTTATTTCTGATCTGTTTGTAGAATATACATATACAGATAGGTGCATAATTCTACACTGAAATGAGAGGTATGACATTAGGATTGATATGAGGTAAGATTATTTCAAAAGACATAAATACAAAACAACTCTTTATTTCAAAGATGTTTTAAAACAAAACCAAAAGGATGGTGACAGGAAGAACCTAAACAGAAGTCATTGTCAAAAGAATTCCTGCTGGGAAGGAAGTTTTAAGGGAGGGCCTCTCTGACTTGTTTCTTGAATAGTTGACAACAACCAGCTGGTCAAAACTAAACTGATTTTATAGAAATACTTTTGTTTCCTGTTTTGCATTGTTGTTGTTGTTAAGTTCAGTCTACTCATAGTGACCCTGTATAGGGTTTCTGAGTTGCAGCTGGTGGGTTTGAACTGCTGACTTTGCGGTCAGCAGCCCAGGGTTATCCTACAGTGCCACAGCTTTTCCATGGTCATGTGCTGGTGAAATGTCTTGGGTTTTATATAGTGCAATGTCACATCAAAGTTTTTCTGGTTGGCAATTCTCTAAATAACAAAGGCCTACACAGTGTCCAAATGATTCCTTAAGTTTACAGATAAAAAAACAAAAGTAACTTCAATGTATGTTTCAGTATTATTTCTTGTAAATAGGCCATAAACTTTATGAGAATTAAAAAAATTTTTTTTTATCATTCATGGTCATGGCTGAATAAGTTCCACAAAAACTTTACCTTGCTCAGAGTGATTCCCAAGAACCTAGTCAAGTTTTTTTTTTTCTTTCTTTCTATGCATCTTGTTTTATTTTCTTTAATTATAATTGTCTGAAAATAAGTTGCTCATTTATGTGTGTTCTTTTTTAAAAAAATGTTTTATTGTGAATTATGTGATAGCTTACATGGGAGAACATTAGCTTTACATTCATCCTATTGTATATATCATTACACTGCCA